CTCTAGATTCTTGGGTTTATTTTGTCGCATAGCATCGGTGGGAAAACATCTTTAGCGGAATATGGTGCGGTACTGTTCGGTGCGTCAGTGACGATCGAATCATGTTACCAAGATGCGGCTTCAATTTAAAATAATCGCTCGTGTTGACGAGCCGTTTGCTCTTGGCAGACGTTCTGAAGCATGGAACACCCCGGTGAAAAGCTCGTTTTCAGGTTAACCGCACTATTTATGTTAAATATCTATTTCGTTTAAAATAAAAGTATCGGTTCACCAGCGTGGGAATTCAACAAAACAATGAATTCCAACCCGGAGAACATAATACTGGTACTGTAGGCTATGAAGTCTCAGGTGCTATGGATTTTTCCGTAACGTTTAGCTTTTGGAGTAATATAAATATTTTGCATGAAGAAGAGTTAGTGCTGTGTTGGAAATTACCGTGCTATTGAGTTTCGCTGCAGCCAATACGTTTCCCTTTACAGTGCCACGGTCTCCGTAAGCTTTCCGGAGTCGAAACAATTTTACTGCGTTGCGATGCGGAGAGGGTGTCTCTTCTAGTTACGATCCGGAAACTGTTCGTTTGCAGGAGCTTTCCCTGCACTATAAACCTGACACTGACTATAGTTCGTCCGTAAAAATCACCAAATTAGGACTGTTAGGAATGCCGCGAGCGCAGCTGACCAAGTAGGCAGCGCGCTCATGGCAATATTGCTTAAACTTTGTGCAGTAGCTATCCTCAGAACCTGAATAATAGCATGGCCAGTAATTAACAATCATTAACGAAGTCGTACTAAAATTAATATGATAATTTAATGCTGTGAGCGAATTTTATGCTTGACACTTGTTTTGTAATGTATTAAGCGTGAGACTCAGCACCATACAGTCCTAATCTGGATTTCACAAACTCAACATCTAAACATTAAAGAAATATATTTTTCCCAGTCTCGTGATTTTGGTTAATATAAACACCCCAGTGACTCAAATGAAGAACCTGGGCCCATTAGGGAGCCTTCATACACTTTCACTGGGCCCCTTTGCTCAAAGCGCTAACCGCGGCTAATGTTAGCCGCAGTACCTAAGAGAGGGATTTTGAAATCACGTGACTAGCTCGGTAGGGATGCGGGGAAACATGTCGGTGCCCCGGTGAGTGAGCGCCGCTCGCTTCGGAAGTAATATGTCGTTGTAGCTTCAATATCGGGCGCGTTAGTCAGCAACGAATGGTGCAGGAGGCCTTCGCTTTGCCTTACCTCCCTTAAATCGCAAAGCATGAGCAATGACATCGCGCATTTTTTAGATAGTATTTCGATTCTGGCCATTCCTAAGCCTAAATGAACGCGATTATTGTCGGCATAACGTCTTTGGAAAGTGGATTGCCTAGGGTGCCTCAATGTCCTTCTGTTTAGGGTGATGCCACCCTTTGTTGTACCCGATGCCGACAGCACGCGCTCACGGGGAAAATACAAAGAAATCAACGAAAACAAAATGTCGCCATAATACAGTCAACGCCACAAACGCGTGGAGGGCCACGCTCTTTCACGCGCTTCTGAACAAAAAATAAAAATAAACGTGTGGGACAAAATGGCGAGATGCCACCACCCTAAGCAAAGCGCACATGAAGGCACCCTAGGATTGCCTTGAATCGATCGGCCGGGTTTTGATAGCACACAAAAGCAGACAGCGTCCCAATAGATTTTTTTCCTAAATTACCCAAGCGTCGAGGAGAACGCTGGAAGCGTAATTTTGTGGTCCGCGCGCACTGGCCTTCCTCTTATAAAAGATTCGAAGTAAATAATTATAAGGCTTTGACGAACGCGCGTGCAGGGCAAAGTTTGTTTTTGACTTTTTTCTTTACGACAATTACTACTGCTGACGCCAGCACGTGCCGCGCGTGTAACTACACCCGTAGCATGCACCTCGGTGCTTGGGAAATTTAGAAAAAGGTCTATAGACCATTTGCCTATTACCCAAGCATCAAGGAGAAAGCAGGGTTTGGTGTTCCACGTGCCACACGCGCACACCTTCCCCGTATAAAATATTCGAAGTAAATAACCAAAATAAAGATGCCATTTGTTTTAGGTGTTTGCTTTAGAAAAGTTACTACTGCTGAGGCCAGCACGTGCGGCGCGTGGAACACCAGTCCCTGTATTCTCCTCGATGCTTGGTTAATATAGCAATAGGTCTATAGGGGGTATTCACTGGACGCCATATTTGAGGGCGATGTTTAGAGCGCATGCCCAGAACGAGCTCACATTAATGGGCTGGTAAGACCGGCAATCTTCATGGTGCGGAACGCACGTTGCGAAAGAACTGCGGAAGCTGGCCGTCAGCACGCACTCAGCAGCCGTGCACACAGACATGGCCGCCAGAGAATGCTCCCTATTCGGAGGCTGTCTGCTTTTGTGTGCTATCAATACCCGGCCAATTGAGTCAAGGCAATTCACTTTCCAAAGACGTTACGCTGACAATAATCGCGTTAATTTAGGCGTAGGAATGGCCAGAACCGAAAGACTATCTAAACAATGAGGCGAGGTCATTGCTCATGCTTTGCGATTTAAGTGAGGTAAGGCAAAGCGAAAGCCTCCTGCACCAATCGTTGCTGACGAACGCGCCCGATATTACAGCTACAACGACATATTAGTTTTAAAGCGAGCGGTGCTCACTGACCGGAGCACCGCCATGTCTCCCCGCATCCCTACAGAGCCAGTCACATGATTTTAAAATCCCTCTCCTAGGTACGGCGGCTAACTTTAGCCGCGGTTAGCGCTTCGAGCAAAAGGTTTGCTAAAACGTGAGCATAAAGCTCTACAAGCTCATCCTTTTGCACGGGAGCTCGTGCAGGAGAGGCGCGTTTGACAGAAAGCTCGCGCAGCGAAAAGCAAGCGAAAGTCCAAAGATGTCAATTTCAAGGTATAGAAAAATACCACACTTTATACAGGTGCCACCACACACGATTTATTGCCTTGATGTACAGTCCTGGAAGGCGATCCCATCGCCATCTGTTGGTTGCGAATCACACTAGTCAAAGCTGGGGTTGCACCTTGAGCTGAGACTGCAGCCAGTGTCACACGCATGAGAGCTCTTGGTCGCTGCTTCGAAGCGTTCTTCCGCAGAGCGAGCACTCGCGCTAGAAATGCACGTCTCAAAACCAGGATCGCGGCTAACTCGCGCTCGTAGCTTTGGCTGCAGTCTCAGCTTAAGCATGAACAGAGTATAGTAGCAGAAGACGGAACAGCGACCCTCACGGTACCCATAATACCTCACTCTCGTCGCTTGAGTGCGTGCGCTACTTTTCAGAAATAAAAATCCCCTTGATAAAATTAACGCTTTCAAGTACCGCCAACCATTGTTGTGGAAACGCGCGAGACACGGGCCACGAGCGGGTGCTCCGCCGCCATTCGCTTCCAAGGGCCGCTCGTGACACGGGCCTCTTGCTCTAGCGCATTTGACGCTACTTGCACGACAAACGCAAAGAGATGGAGTGGCTTTATCCAGAAAGGTTCATTTGAGCACGGTATTCACAGCGCCTCCCAAGAAAGGGGAGGGGGGGGGGGGTGAGGGTGGTGGTATGGTTGTTTTGCAGACGTCCCTGCATCCTCAGATTAAGCTCCTACCTAACGTCTGCTGAGGACGGCGATCTTGATGGTGTGGAAGGGGGATCGGTGGTCGAGTGGGCTAGCGCACACTAGATCCACTCGATATGGCAGCGCACTCCCGCTCGGAGCACGTGGAGAAAAAGCTCACGCTGCACAACCCAGCGATCCTGGTTCCAATCCCCGCCCTTGCCCGTTTCGATCTGGATGAGCATCGTACCGGCGTGCGGTCGTGTATCACTACTGCGCGGTGCACGTTAAAGACCCCAGGCTAGCGGTTGCACTGCACTGGCTAAATTGCTCATCTACGACTCATAGACAACTCGCCCTTTGAGGCAGACTATCCGCTCATTCACACAGGAAGCGGATCCGCGTTCGCAAAGCGGTTGCGAAAGCGGGTGTATAAAGATCCAGTGCAATTGCTCGATGACATCGAGTGCACGTGCAATTGTGCAGGATCTTTATCAAACCGCGTTCGCAACCGCTTTGCGAACGCGGATCCGCTTCCAGTGTGAATGAGCGGTAAGTTCAGGATATAAACATACCCACAGCCCTATTTGATAATATGGAGTGGAATGGACGTTGCGGAAGCACTGTGGAAATTTTAAGATATACAACGTCGTAAACGTGCTAGCGCTTAAGACGTTGCCGTAAACGCTAGCAGGTTCTCCGCCTAGTCACATTCAGGACTAAGTAACTCCACGATTGTGCCGTACATGCCACGAATTGGCGCTGCATCTTAGAAGCTTATGAAGTGCGGCATCCCAACGAAGCTTCACAGAGCGCCACCAGACGCAATTTGGAAATCCGTTATTTTATTTGAAAATTAATTGTTCTTGTTGTTGTTGTTTGTTTTCACTTCTCTGCCGACAGCCAAGAAACGCTAGTGTTTCTGGGATGCCGGCACAACATAGCCCCCATCCAAACAATAAAAAAGTGCAAATATTTTGTTTCCGTACCCCTTTAAGAGGGCACTACCGAATTATTTCGGCACTGATACGTAAATCTGTTAGAAACAAAAAGCGCTTTACTAGAGAAAATGTATATTTCTTCCGAGTGTCCCCCCAGCAGGCGGTTTTGGCGGGCAAACACGCGCAGGACGTACGCAAAGAACAGACGAACTTTGCACGCCTTATGGATAGACCTCGGAAAGTCCGGAGGGCGTCCGAAAGACGACTTTGAGACTCAGCCGGCTGCTGTGACATCAAAGATCGTTTCGCGATAGCGGAAATCATTCAATTTTTTGTTATATTTTTTTTCCAGTGCTGACGCAAGACAGCAGCTGGATGGGGCAACTATATAGTGACTAAAATATTTTACGGTGATATATGCTATTCAGCTTTCGTACCGAGTCAGAAAGTGAAAACAAGTTGTCAGTGACGTTTCGAGCACCACTTTATGGTTTAGTTAGACATGTGCGCATCTAAGTTGATGCGTCGATGCTCATTGTTCGCCTTCGTGTATTTGTTCGCCATCGGGAGCCTGGCCCTGCTCGGAAGTCTCCGGTACACCGAGACGCCTGGTAATGGAGACCGGTGCGTTAACGGGAAAACACCGACCGCATCACTTCGGGTCAATAGCTCCACACAGAACAGGTAGGTGTGCAGCCGCAAGAAAACAGCAACTTTTAAACGTTCACAAGAGGGTCTTGGTTTATCAAAACGCATTTATTTATTTAATTACTGTACCTTCCGGTCTAGAAGTCGCACCGTATCAGTTGCACTGTTAGGACTGAAGTCAAACGAATGTAATTTTAGAAAAAGCAGCAAGAGGTGCACTAATAGGGTTTGTGCAGGTGAGTTATACGGAAACGGGGACCTAATTTAGTGTTGTAATCGTTACGATAATCAGCTAATTAAAAAATGCTTTACTAATTCACTTTTTAATTACTAACTTAAATCTATGGCTGCAATCAGGAACTTGCTGAGCGTTATTGAAAGCCATTAAATCAGTCATTCTAGGGAATACTTGAAGCCCATGGGAAGCGCGGAGATGCATTAAAGTTACCACACGTCCAACCGGCGCAAGGCTGGCGAAAAAACACGCCGATGTTAATCCTGCCGTAAATGTTTTCGCAACCCAGCGTGAACTTTTAATTAATTCAGAACTATTCTATTCTACGTAAAAAAGAAAGTCATACATATTTTTAATATTTTGTTGTATCGATATTTATGCAACGGTCAGCCTAGCAGTGGCAATGATTTTGGAAAAAAAAAGTAATTACGATTTCTCCGAAAATGTACAGGGAAATTCTAGAATTATTTTTGCTGGTGATTTTAATCTGACTAATATATATTGGGAAAGCACATGGTCAGCCTGTCATATTTCGCAGGCTTTACTAGAAATGGTCTTCTTTTATGATCTGAATTAAATTGCACGCGCTTCCACAAGATTATCCGAAGAAAAAGACTCGCGATACTCGATTTAAGTTTCCTTACCCAAAATTTACATGAAAGAGTAGAAAGCATTAAGGTGATAGAGGGAATTTCAGATCATCAAATGGTATTGCTTATTTTTTTCCACAAATAATACGCCCTGCGACGCACGAAGTCTCAAAGATAATGTCAACTTCTCCAAGGCCGATAACATCGCTTTTATTGACGCTCTAGCGTTCTCTTTTTGTTACTTTTTCAGTGCTTCCAATACACATAAGTGTTCGCGGCATTTTTTTGAAAATATTATTCTTGACTTCATTTCACACTTTCTGCCAAAAAAGGTGAAGTTGACGAATAAAAACATTCGTTAATAAATAGGGAAATAATTCAAATGCGCCGTAGGCTCTTTAAACATTGCAAACGATCGAAAGGTGCAAACCTCGTTGCCCAATTAAACCGCAAGCTTCAGGATACAATTAGAGAAGCAAAACATCGATTCTTTAAATTAACAATGCCCTCCTTTCTTAAGTCCTCGCCTGGGAAGTTTTGGCGCTTTATATTGACCTCTAGGTCAAAAGCAAACGAGTTCAATTTTGATAATGAAATTCTGGATGACCCCTATTTATAGTGCTAATGTTTCAATAAATATTTCACTTCCGTTTTCAGTTTAGACAATGGTCACAGTTCGGTATTTGATGCAACTTGATAAGACCGCGAAGGCGCTCAAAACTGTTTGCCAGATATAACAATTTCGGAGGAAGGCATTCTTAAATGTATTTTGTATATTGACGTTAAAAACGGAGTTGAGCCAGACGAGATTCCCAATGCCTTTTGAAAAGGTATGCGAAATAGACCGCTAAGTACTTGACTGCAATATTCGGAACATCGTCTGAAATTTGCATTGTACCTTCAAAATAGAAAACAGCAGAAGTGATTTCCATTTTAAAATCCTGTGACTCAAGGGTTGTTTTCAATCATTTACCTATTTCTTTGCTTACTATTTGGGGTAAAGTTTTTTTTTTTTTTTCGAGGCCTACGGATCCCCATGTGGCGGGTTCGAATCCCGGCCCAGGTGCCCGCAATCTGATGGAGGCTTATTGCGGAGAAGGCGTCGTGCAATCGAGCTTTCAGTTGCACGTCAAAAGATCCCCAGGTGGTCGAAATTAATCCTCAGTCCTCCGCTGGGGCGTGCCAGATGCCCGTCGTTGGTTTGGCACGTTAAACCCCCAAATTTGACTTGGGGGTAAAGTTTTGGAACATGTTGTATTTAAACACATATCGGCATATCTTAAGCAAAATAGTTTTTTTTTTCTTGCTAAAGCTGAACATGGTTTCCGTAAAAAAAAAAGTGTCTACCATCACCCAACTAACCGGAACAGTGTATGAGTTCGCGCCGGTAATTAATGCTGGTACTCGAGGGCAAACTGTCGTTGTATACTTGGACTTTTCAAAAGCGTTCGACCGCGTTCCACATGAGAAACTACTAACAAAATTGGCGGTTGTCCTAAATATTACTAAAATTTTGAAGTGGCTAGAAAGTTATTTGACTATGAGACAGCAATTTGTAGAATTCGATGGCGCGTGTTCCGGTACTACACACGTGATGTTTGATGTCCCGCAGGGATCAGTTCTCGGGCCTCTATTGTCCTTGATATTCGTTAATAATATTGTTTGTGCAGTCCCAGTCAAGATAAGATTGCTGGAGATGATAGTGTTGGTTTTAATAAAATCAAAAGTCTCGGAGACTGTGAAGTATCAAACTCCTCGCTAGAAAAATCGTCTAGACGGTGTGCTAACTAGCAAATGTCACTGGATTTATCAAATACTGTTTGTATGTCTATTACTAGCAAGAAAAGTCCTTTACTTTTTGATTATTTTATTGGTAGCTGCAGCCTTCTTAGAGTTTGCTCATATAAGTATCTGGGTTTGACTATAACATCCTACTTAAGGTAGAACACACATGTTAGTAACATATCTAGTAGAGCAATGAGTAAGTTGGGTTTCCTTCGCAGGTAAATGAAGCATGGCTCCCGTGAGACAAAGTTATAATAATATAAAACTCTCGTTAGGCCAATGCTAGAATATGCAAATGTGATCTGAAAGCCCCGCACATCATGTTGTATTTCAGAACTCGAGAGAATTCAGAGATTAACGGTGCGTTTTGTGTACAATATCTATTCCTCTTATGTATCCTCGAGAAAACCTTGTACTGAGGCGGCCGTAAAAACCCTATAGAAGAGAAGGAGAATGAATTGTCTAAAATTTCTCCATCTTATCGTTCTTTGAATCGACAGAGATGATCATATTACATTTTTCTGCCCCAGGTCTTCTAGACATTTTCACAGCAGAACAATAAATCTAGATAGTTATAAAAATGACGCCATTTAAATACTCCTTCTTTCCTCGAACAATTATTGATTGGAATAGTTTGCCACCTGATGTTGTAAATACTATCTTTTTAGATTTTTTCTTCCAAGTTATTTCAGCAAGTGCAACCCGTGTGATATTATGCTTGATCCACTCTTGTAACAATCTCGAAAGGGATTAAAAGTATTAATACAGAAAGAAAGTATGAAGTGAGCCTCGAAATCGTTTCTGCAGATCCCCTCTACAAATGGGCAATTCCAATGACAAAAATAATCCCTGGAGAAGGGGAAAAAGAGGACAAAGGACAAACACAGATCTCCAAATACCCTCTTGTTCCCCTTCTCCAGGGATTATTTTCGTCATTCTTGTCCAGTTCGCTTGCACCTTTGCATTCAATTACATTATAATCGGAATGCCAATACAAGTTTAATGCACTCGCGGCGGTCGCCACTCCAGGCGTGCGGGCGGTAAGGAACGGCGGAGCCCGTGCTTTAATCTAAATTTGCATCACGCCGTTGCGATCACACGACCGCATGCCCGTACGATGTTGATTCAGATGAAAACGGACAAGGGGCCGAGATTAAACGCTTCATTATAACCCATGCACGCAATTTGGGAAGATCGCGGCACAGAAAGAAATTGAGGGAGACGAAAGGACGAAAGAGTGCGTGGACGTCAAAGAGCCGCGAGCTCTGATTGGGAGGACAGCGGGTGGACACAAAGGTTGCGACCCAATGGTGTCGATCAAGAAGGGCCAAAAGAAACTCCCGTCACGGCACCATTTGTCCTTTTTGCGTTTGTTATGCGCAGCTCAAGTTCGTCTGCTTCTTTAGTGGGGGGTTTTGGTGACGTCAGAAGACCGAGAGCTGGTTGGATCTGATGGAAGGATAGTGGGTAGACCTCAAAGCTGGCTGCCTTGAGGTCTACCCACCATCCTTCCTTCAGAGCCAATCAGAGCTCGGCGTTCCGACATCTCCACCATCATCATCATCATAACATTTACAAAAGAAGCAGACGAACTTACGCTCCGCGTTGCAAGCTGAACCGATCGCGCGCAAGAGAAAGCGCAGGATCAAGGCGTATTCATTGTGCGCGATTTATTCAGCCCGTGAGATCAATTGAACAAAGTGAACGAGAGCCGTGACGATGCGTTTTTGGAGCCGCATGATTGGCCCCATCTGATCGCGTGCGTCGGCCATGGACGGACGTATACTGTCCAAAGAAGTGTAGCTGCCTTTGTCTCTGTCCGCTGTCTAAATCCAGCCGGAGCGAACAAGACGCGTCTGCTGCTTCTCACGCATGCAGTGTCCGGCGTTTGAACTTAGGACGGCGGCGTTCGGCTTTTGAGCGCGTTAAAATAGTGGGTAGAGGTATAGGAAATCTATACGCCTCGCAAGTGGGCTCATTTTCGTCTTCTGCGCATGAGAAAGGAAGTAGCGGTGACGTCAGAACGCCGAACCCTGATTGGCTGATCGCGACCCCCTATCTCAGCGTCGTCTGCTCCTTTGCAACGTCGTCTGCTCGCAACATCGCCTGCGTCTGTCTTACCTTTCCCGCGACTTTCGGAGCGAACTCGACTTCGCCTTTAAGAGAGGGCAGACGAAATAACTCGAGCGGTACGTTGTTTTGTCTCACAACTAGCAGACGCGCATCAAGGAGGGAAGTCAAAGGACTCACTGGCGAGGTGTCCCGAGGCGCCGAGGTTTGTTTGCTTAGAACCGACAGTGAGCCTGTTAGTGTCCGCAAGTTCCCTCCCAAATACTTTTTTCCTTCATTCGTGTGCGGCGAGACCCCTCACTCTTTAACGGCGTCGGCGGGTTGGCGCAGTTAACGTCGTCTGCTTTACGTCTGCTAGTCAAAGCGATGGCTGCTTTACCTTTCCTGCGTCTGTCGGAGATTCACCGCTTTTTCACCGGCGAGAGTCACCGTTGCCTCGGGAAACAAGGAGATAACAAGAGGAAGAAATTTACCTATTAATCTAAAATAGAGGTCAGCGATCAAAGTATAATACGGGAAGGGTTCACAAGGGTCGCGCGGGCATATTCCATTCAGCACACCAGCCGCTCGTGGGCAGACGGTCGCCGAGTCGCGGAGTGCCTGCTAGGCCTAACTGCCCAGCTCGTTTGGTCGCGTTCGGTGGAATCGTGGCCGTTGGAGCTTTTCCCGGGTGTTTGTGGATCCAGCGTTTTTGTTTGTCGTGGTCTGTTTCAAGTACTTTTTACTTTTTTCTTGCTGCTTGAAGTCGGGACGCGTCAGAAGCGCACGTAGAAAAATAAACGTCCTTGAACTGCGCAAGACAGCTTCGAAGCTGTCGTAGGATTTTGCCGTAACCTGCGCAAAACGTACGAAAATTTCGTTTCGTGAATACGAATTTGTTCTTAAATTTTGTCTTACGCACACTTTGGCGTAAGATCGTTTCGTGAATCTGGCCTCTGCACTTCCGAAAGTCGCAGAAAAGGTAAGACAGACGCAGACGACGTTGCGAGCAGACGACGTTGCAAAGGAGCAGGCGACGCTCAGATAGGGGGTTCTGACGGCGTTCTGACGTCACCGCTACCCCCTGCGAAGAAGCAAACAAACTTGCCTTCCGCATAGCCTTTCCGTGTATACCCAGCAACCTTGTAACCAAAGCTTTGCGCTCTGACAACCCTCCGCCCCCCCCCCCCCCCCCCCCAGCTTTCTCATTTCTTGTTCTCCCCCGGTGTCTCCACGTATAGATTTATTTATACAGCTATACAGCGTATAAAACAAATGACACACGCTTCAAAATTGACGCAGGGAACCCGTGACGTTGGTGCTAGTTACGTGTGCGGGCGGCATGGAGATGACCATGGCCAGTCTCAAGTCGGCCATCGCATTCTCAAGAGCTCCCCTGAGGCTCATCCTATACGCCGATGTAGAGAACATCAAGAGTCTTCAAGACAGGGTAACTGCGTCTCGGGATTGTTTAGAAAGGGAAGAAAACCGTACGTTTTTGTTGTGGCCAATGGGAGTCCTTCTAGACTAGTCACGAGATTAACGAGTCACCAGGCCTGAGTAACCCTTGAGCAGCGGCCACGCTGCTCGTACATTATTTAATAGACGCGGTATTCGCTGCAGACAATAATATCATTATCTGCAAAAACGCCTCACGTATGTGCGAAACATGTTTGCTTCATGAATGTGTATGTTCGGAAGTGGTATAAAAAGTGTTTTCGTCTGACCAATGTGAGAGGACCGTCATACAGCGAAGAACCACGCCCCAGACAATGCCTTCAGACCAGTCTTGTACACATTACTAAAAAAAAGTATTAGATTACAATTACTATTACTCTTGGCTAAAAAGTATTCGATTAGATTACTTAATTACTCGATGGCAAAAATATTTGGACATTACTTAAAAAAGGAATCGTTACTTTTCCGATTACTTTATTGTGTGAAGACACATCTTTAGCGCTCATAACAATGAACTACTTCCAACCTATATTTCACATTTGCACAAGTATTGAAGAAGAAAAACTGGCTCCCTCTTCGTGGTCGTTGCACCTTCACAATGCGGACAAAAGCATAGAATTCGTTTGAAGACGTTTAATGATTTGGGCGTTCGCCAGTGTGTGTGTATGTGGGGGGGAGGGGGGGGGGAGCGGAGGGGGTTCTACATCTTGTTAAGCTTGAGCAAGTGTTGTCACTCAAAGTTTGCGTCGCTCATTTTATTATTCACATGTGGATGAGCTCGCATGTTATACAAAAGAGCAGCCGTTCCAGGATTTGAAACTGATCATGTGTAGTATCCATTAGCGGAAGAGATTGTCCCGACCACTTCTCAACTCGAAACATTGCCCTTGTGACAAAGACCACATAGGGGAAATGGGGAAATATTTCAACTGGCTTTGTTATATTTTGCATCCGCTTTAGGCATTCTTCGGTTCTGGTTCTCCTATGGGCTGCGAGTAGGTACCCTAAGCAGGATTTTTTTATTTTTTATCTATGTGTGTGTGTGCGTGAGGGGGCTAGTTTGACCGAATTACTCGCAAAGCTACATTCTGCTTCCTCAAACTTTGCCCTGAATGGCCTTTGTCACGCACAGTGGCTTCCCTGGGGCCTCCCACTCCCAGTCCCAGCTCGAAAAAAAAAAAACGGACATTCCACAGAAACTGTACATAGAAAGAGATTGACCTCGTTTCCTACAGCTCCGCAAAAATCTTTCTTTTTTCCGTTCAAAAAAAAAAAAGCAAATTTTATTTTTGTCATTTCATAAAAAAAAGGCGTGTGCCGGGGGGGGGGGGGGGTGTAACGTGAACAAATTGTAACGGTTACAAGTAATTTTATTACTTCAAGAAGTAATCGGGTTACTCTTGTGATTACTGCCTAATAAAAGTAATCAACTGATTACAAATTACTCGAAAAAGTAATCGAGTACAAGTAATTTGATTACTTGTAATGCGTACGGTACAAGTCTGCTTCAGACTGTCTTTTGCATGGTGCATTAGCGGTGCGACGACTTTTTAATCTGCAAGCATTAACTCTCCCATGAAGCGAACCGACGTCATCAGCTTATGAAGCCGCGCCAAACGGCCCTTAAACTCCCCTGTCCCAATGGAGGGAATGCGTGTCGTTTGTAGCAGCGATCTCATGGATAAACTCCGATTGGCTGGCGCGCGGCACAGTTCCCAGCGACGCCACCCCACAGACAAGCCCTCTCCTCCGCCGATAAGAGGGAGAGGGTGGCCGGGCTCTGCAGAACGGCCGGCCGTAGAGCCCGCCCCGGCAGCCTACTTAGAGGTCACCCGGCCGGGCTCAGCGCGGCATGCAGCTTGTAGGAATACGCTGCGTATACGAATGCTTTCGCATTCCGGTACGTTAGCAGTCTTAAATGTGTTATGACATGAAAACTAAATGAATAGATTATTCTTGAAATGAATATTTTATGCTATTAAGTAAATACACCAAGTTACGTGATTTTTAGAGCTCTGGTAATTGCAATAATCACTTTACGAATTTTTTATAATTTTCATTTGCGACCAGGCGAAACTGCCCAAGTTAGTCACACCATGGTGTCCATAAACCACGTGATCATGAACGCTCTCTCATTCTAGGCGCCCCCACGATCGCCCAAGCTTACCTTGCTGAGGTACGATAAAACAGCTCACGCAACTCGGCAACCCAAACGTTATTATCGCACTCGCCCCCGGCCCGTTCACCTTGCACCCTGCATGCGCCTGCGAGATATTCCCGAACGACTGTGACCACGGCGAGTTCGTCCGTAACTCGCCGTCGTTGGAGCTGGTCGCCAGCGGGTCGCAATCAAAATGAACAGTTTCGAACATCTCTTCATAGCGATCACTCTCATCGCTGCTGCGATCAACGTCGAACACTTTGGCAAAGCGATCGATGCCGTAGACGTAATCGTCACGGAGCGCATGCTCTAAACGCGGAAGGTAAACGACGAAGCTGAAGCTCGAAACGCCAAGAGAGCCAAGTCTGTGAGTGCGTGCAAGGGGACGCCGCGCGGGAGGCTGGTGACAGCACCAGCCTCCCAGCCATGGGGGCCTTTCCGAATGGGGCGGATCCAAGACACACGCATATAAATCGATTTATGCACGAAACTATCGCGCCATTTTCAAAACAAATTTAACAGGGTTATAGGAACATACAACGGGTCCTAGCGGTATAGTTATCTCATATTTTATATTTCGCGTGTCATACCCCCCTTTAGGTGTCTTTGTAGTATTTTTTACGGGCACGTGTGTGCCGCAAGTTTGCATATACATTGCGATTTGTACAGTCTGCACACACAGAGATTTCGAAAGTGCATACGCTGACATTTTGTTAATGTGGCCACCCAGATCATGCAGTGGCCAGCCAGCGTCTTTACTCGGATTACCTACGACCTTCGCTTGGTCACGTTTCCGAAAGAAGACTTCAAAAAGTGGAAGCAACTCTTCAGGCCCTGCTCTACACAACGACTCTTTCTCCCAGTGGGTACATGACTTGTGTCAGAACACAGTCGAATGATGAAGTTAAGGTGTGATGCACCATAAAGAAAGGGCTCCACATGACAAAATACTCCCATAAAGATTTTTTTCTTAGTATCATTGTTCAAAAGACATCGTCGTCATCATGATGTTTTACCTTTCTTTGTGGCAACAATGGAGGTAATGACCTTTGTGACGCAGCTGCGTTTCTTAATTTTTCAAAAAGGTCGCACGTTGCAAAACTGTTTTCACGCTTCTGAAAGTTTAGTGCTGGTAATTCCCTAAACATCCATAATCATAATGCACATAATGCATTGGAACCACGACAAGTGATCACCTGCCAATTTATATGCTTGTCGACTCGAAAATCAGGATACAGAAGGACAGAGATGACTACCTAGTTTATTATCGAAATATCAGTGCAAAATACCTAGATGCATTTGAAGCTGAGATTTGCTGTACCGATAGGACCACGGTGTTGTCCAGAGTTTCAGCTGACGAGGCATATGATAACTTTATTGGCATTTTTACAAATATATGTAAACAGTGTTTCCCATACAAAAAGAAAATTGCCCCCAGGAAGGCTCAAAAGCCCGGGGTGACCGAGGAGATAATCAAAATGATCGGTAAAAAAGACGCTGTCTGCAACATGTTCATGAAATCCAGAAAACCAGATGTGCTGGCGTTATATAGAAAGCAGCGAAATGCTGTCACAAGCACTTCACGTAAGGCTAAGCGTACATATTTTAATACTGCGTTTGAAAATGAGCGACGAATACATATTAAATGGAAAAGCTTAACTAATTTTTGAGACGTGGCCCTTTCAAGTCTACAGCCACCAAGCTTAACATCGAGGGGGAGGCGAGAGGTGGTTTGGCGTTACCTGAAATATTTAATGACTATTTTCTTAACATTGTATATAATGGTAACGCTGCCGTTGAATTTCAATTTGTGAAAGGGGTCTCTGATACACTTATTTTATGCCCCACTGACGCAGAGAATATAGCAGCGGTTTTCAGGAACCTTGGAAACAGGAAAAGTACTGACATAGATGGTGTTCAAATCAAATCTCTGAAACATGTAATTAAATCGATTGCTCCTCCTTAACATATATTTTCATTTTGGCACTTTAAAATGGTCATTTTAAAACAAAAAAAAAATAATGCAAGTCGCTAAGATTATGGTTATTTTCAAGTCTGGGGATAAAAACAACCTAGAAAATTATAGAGCCGTTTCTGTGCCCCCAATGTTTTCAAAGGTGCCAGAGAAAAATAATAGACGCCAAATTATAACCTTCTGTAAAAACCACTCTGTCCTAACATCTTTCCAGTTTGGGTTTAGGAAATGGCATTCGAGGGAACTCGTGTTAATATTTTTTAAACAATATCAAAACAAATTGGTTACCTTGAGGACCCTCATTGATTTTTCAAAATATTTCGACCGCCTGAATCTTAAAAATTTACTTCTAAACTTAAATACATACGGGGTACGAGGAGTGGCTTAAACGATGATGAAGAGTTTTTTTTTTTTTTTTTTTTTTTCAATACCGGTATTAGTGTGACATGGTAGATAGTCAGTGATCTAGCTTAAAGAAACTGACGTCGGGGGTGCCGCAGGGGAGCATCTCTAAACCCCCAGTTCTGTACATTTTGTATATAAATGATATAGAAAATATTCACAACAGTGCAGATTTTATCATTTACGCAGACGACACCAGCTTATTATTTCGGGTGAGGTTGTCCACCAGGTTTTATGTGCGGCAAATTGCGTTGTGCAAAAGATAAGTGTCTGGATAATCTCAAGCTCTGTAGTAATTAATGCACATAAGAATAAAGCAATACTTTTACGATTCCAAAATACAGTGTTTTCATATACTCAAAGGCTCTCCCCTCAAGGGCAAAATATTGAATTTGTATGAAATGTGAAGGTTCTCGGTTTAATATTTTATGAGAACATGAGCTGGGTTGTTGAAGTACAATGTATAACTTGCAGACTTTCAAAAGTTGTGGGCATTATTCATAAATGACGACTTATATTACCCGGTCTTAGTCCTTCTTTACAACTCCTTCCTTTACTCTTACTATAATTACTGCTTCCTTGGTTGGGATAGCACAACGGCTACAAATATGCATCACTCGCATGTTCTTCGGAAGAAAGTCATCCGAATTAAGTGCACTATGGAATTCAACGCTCACAGATTAGAACTTTTCATAAACCCTCACATAGTTCCATTTACAGAGGATTACAATTATAAACTTCTAGCATACCAAACGTCTGTAAGGCAAAATCAACCTGTTTTTTCTGTCAATCGCCGATATGAAGCGGAGGGTGCCTGCATACGCAAGCCGTTGTGTTGACGCACATGGTCAACGCCTCGCTTGAAAACAGGCTACGGACTCCAGATGTTGCAGTTTTGGTTGCCTAACGTAATGAATAGTACACTTTGATTTCGCATGGAGTTGATGAGTTTGAGTAGAAAGGATGTTCGTACTTTGTTTATCTAGTTTTATTTGTGCCTATTTTTGATGAGACCTTCAACCTCTAAGAAATGTTCGCATTGTATCTTAGACCTCTTTTGGTTTAATATTGTGTGTTTTGCTTCTTTTCTTTACTTTGTTGTACGGATCACTGGTCTGTAAAATAGTTTCTCTTGTTGCTGTTGGGGAGGAAAAACTCGGTCATGCGACATCAGCCTGATTTTTCACCTTCCTCCTCTTTCCTGGAGAGAAACCAAAAAATTGAAGTTGAAGTTGAACATCATTTCATACTAAACGTTGAAACTATTTGTCATTTTCACATGAATTAACCGACGGACATCTAGTATTCACTGGGCCTACACTATGCGTAGCTCGGATTTTGTTTTCACGAGTATCGTACTGAAAACCCATAACTATACAGAAACTCATGCTCGCACAATTGAGTTTATTGTTCGATGCCCCCAATTTCAGCACGGCATTTCTTGCAGGACATCCTACCGAATGAGGATGTGGTTTTGTACGTGGACGCTGACACCCTCTTTCTGCACCCTGTTGAGGATCTCTTGGAAGCCTTCGAGAAAATGAACGAGAGACACCTCATGGCCCTTGTTCATGAGATTGAAGACGAAGCCACCAACTGGTACCACCAGCACGGCAAGACCCCTTACATTCCACCTTTTGGTACGTACGGACAGGCTCCATTTCTTTAAAAAATCTACATATATAGGGTGTCCCAAGTCACCAGGTGCGATATAAAATAGACCGTAAAAATCGACGCCTGCACGTAGCAATTTAAACGTTTCGTCAAAGGTGCAATTCGCAGGTCGGTTTTTTTCTTGTAAAATTATTAAGCGTAGCTCTTTTTGTGTAAAAAATATGGCCAAGAAACTTACCAGGGTCAACGGTGGGCAGCGACGCAGACAACCAAGTTGAGTAGCGGGGTGAGTTAGGCGCTCGTATTGATAGAAGGCGCTACCTCCTTAACGAGACTAAGGCCCAACGAGACTGCTCGTGACCACTATGGTTTATTCAAATGAACATAATCTTTTTGCAATGTACCTTGGGTAATGCGGACAATAAAAGCAATACTGAAAACGAAATAAAACGCGTTTGCATGACGAAGGCGCTTTTCCTGCCAACGGATTTAGTCTGCGTGTCGTCTGGTTTCTTTCGCTGGTAGGCAACACCTTCGGACGAATTCGGCAGTGTTCTAGGAACGGCGTTCAAAGGAACGGCATTCCTGGAACGCGTTCCTTTTCGGAGGAACGAAGGAACGCCGCCGTTCCATTTTGCATCAGTGGAACTGGAACGGGAACGCGTTACTTTTTTACTGGAACGTAAGAAAGAACGGCGTTACTTTTTTCTTTCGTCCAGTGGGGTAATTTTTAATTTATTTCTAAAAGGGAAATTCTAAAATGTATAAAACAATATTACGAAGAGCAGGGTCTCGTTAACTTTTTTGTTACTTATCTTAAGGCACATTTGTGCAACCGCGTACCATAGAGTTATTATAATGTACGCTAGAGGTTCAACTGGCGCTAGTGTCTATGCGACTTCCGTGACGCAAATTGAAGCAGACAGCAACCAGTCTACTTTTCCAGTCTTCCTGTGTATTCCTATGGGAAAGCGCGCGTGCATTTTGTCTCTTCGCCGGAAAATAACACGGAACACTTTGGTTATTTGGGTCGTACCGAATAGTATGTACCTTGATTAACACTGTAAAAGTGTAATTGCTTTAGTTAGCGCATTTTTCTTCATCAGTGACCGATGTTTAACTTCGCTACATTTCAGTCCCAAGCGTGTGTTCCGCAGCAGGTGTGTAGAAACAAGCGACGATTCGAAACAAAATTACAATCGAAAGGAATGTAGAGTGTGTTCAAGGCTCGCCAGCAATCCGGTGACGCTTATATATTGATAATATGCCAGTCCTGTCACTATATAAAAATGACCCCGTCGTGCATGAGCGGATAAAAACATTCAAAACGTAGAGAATAAAGTCCGTGGGCTATAAAAGTTGTCTCTTCGCATTGCTTTCTCTGCCGGGCAGCTTTTATCTGGCACTTGTTCTCAAAGATTTCGAGCGTGCGAGTGATATTTTGAACGTAGAACAAGCACCTTCGCTCAGAGCAGAAAGAATAAAACGGTACTTATTTAAAATAGGAATAGATTACGTGGCCTTCAATTAATTTTGATCGTATATGCACGTGTAGTTACTGATCCGGTGTTACTGCGTAGTTCTTGCCGTCTTTCTTAATTTCCAGATGTTTTTCGTTCGTTTGGCACGCATATCCCCCACGCTGAAAAGCTCCGACGTCGTGTTCGCGCTAGCAGTGTCCGACAGTGCACATAAATACATGTGCGAAGCTGTTTTAGCACCGTTTTTAATGCGATGAATTTGAAAGAAAAACACCGTAACTGACCAATTATTTCGTCGGCCTGACTGAGAAATGTTCCAAGCTACCTAGTACGTATGAATTTTTCGGGATATTTGCTCTTATGATCGAGCGCAGAGAGAAAATGCACTCACTTTTTCCCATAGAAATGCATTACCGGAAGTCAATTTTCGACTGGTTGCTGTCTGCTTCAATTTGCGTCAGCACACTAGCGCCACTTGAACCTCTAGCGTACATTATAATAACTCTATGCCGCGTACGACTGTGAGAGACAAGACCTGTTTTTAAGCAACTTATGACGGCGAAGGACGTGCTCCGCAGCAGCGCGTCTGGTTCTATACGCCGTCGTAAGAAGCTTAAAAACCGGTAATGTCTCGCTGAGTCGTACTCGGTTGCAAGTATGTGAATGGCACTTTAAGGCCAGTTCACACACTTGCAACCGAGTCCGACCGACCGAGGCAAGACCGGTTTTTTAGCTTGTTGCGACAACTTAGGACCGAATGTGCTGCTGTGGAGCTGGTCCTAGACGTCGCAAGAGGCTTAAAACCCGGTATTGTCTCTCTCAGTCGTGCTTGGTTGCAAGTGTGTGAATGGCGCTTTAGAGTTTATTTTGTGAGGTTTTCTCTCGGTAACAGTTGGGTGCAGAAAAGCTAATGGACATCGATACATTTTTTTTCAGTGGCCGAGACTGCAGTACAAAAAACCAAAACTTTCAGTCGAAAGAAATGACACAGAAAGAGGGACGTCTCAAACTCAGTTACTTTCTTTGAGGAATCCATATACACCAGACATCCAACGCCGACTACAGCCATCAGTAATTTTTAGAAAGAGACCTACAGTGAGAACAGAACAACAGGTGACCAGACATCAAACGCAACCTTGTATCCTGAACATTGGTCACTTAAAGTATACACAAAAATTAACCTTTATTCATTCTCCCGTTGTCCCCCACTTTAAAACAGATCAACGAATCTAACCTTCACGAAGGACTGACAGCTTTCAAGACTGGCCTTCCAAAAACCCTACCCTCTTCTCCACTTGTTTGTCTTGCGGACAGAAACATCCAGAAGCAAGTGTTGTGAAGTTTGAACAAGGGACTTTGTTAGATTGAAACGTGTGAGATTGTTGTAAAACACCCGTGTAACAGTACCATTTGGCTCGTCTGAATAGCCCACCACAAAGATGAATATGGAACAAAGCTGAGATTTTTAAACGTGAATATATCAACAAATGAAATCTTGCTTCCGCTTGTCTTCTTCTCCTGTCCTTCCATCACGGTATTCAAATTCGTATGTTGCCATTTAATGGGATAGATTAAAAAACAACAATTAAAACTCTGTTTGTTGCAACTGAATATGGTAATAACCAAAATACAAATCTAACGTATATGTAACGGTACGTTCCATTTTTTAAGCTGTAACGGGAACGAGTTCCTTTTTCACAAATGGAACTTGTAACGGGAACGCGTTCCAAAAATAAGAAGAAACTAGGAACGAGCTTCCGTTCCTTTTTTTGAGGAACGTGTTCAAGACTGGCATTCGGACGCTGCTCTCGACGCCATTTAACAATATGCGCGCCAAACGCACCCCGCAACTCGACTTGGTCGTCTGCGTCGCCACCCGCCGTTGAGCCCGGCAAGTTTCTTGGCCCTATTTCATACACAAAGAGAGCTACGCTCAGTAATTTCATAAGAAAAAAAAAATACCTGTGAGATACACATTTGACAAAATGTTTAGATTACTACGTGCAAGCGTCGATTTCTACGGCCCATTTTAGATCGAGCCTGGTGACCTGGGACCCCCTTTATAGCTGTCGTTTTAATGGGATTCTTAATCGGTATCAATCGAAGTCCAAGATAATATGGCTTTCGAAACGGACAAAAAGAGAACAGACGAAACAACTAAGGTAGAATATGACACGGGACCCCTATCTGCCCCACATTGGTTATGTTGGTTGGGTTAAATAACGTCTCACAAACACAGATACACACAGTAGCATGTTCACAGAGTACTCGCATCGAAGTTTACGTGTCTGAGTTTATCACATACGATGAAGACGCGCCTCATTCTTGTCTTCCACAGGAGTCAACGCCGGCGTGATGCTCATAAACCTCACGCGCATGCGCAGCTTCGGCTGGGTGTCGCGCATGGGGTCCTTGCTGGATGAGTACGAGGACCGGCTCATCTTGGGCGACCAGGACCTGGTGAACATCCTCTTCAGCGTTCACCCGGACAGGCTGTTCCGGATGACGTGCCGATGGAACTACCGCCAGGCCACCTGCACCTTCCACGCGTCGTGCTCGGGCCAAACGCCCGCGCTGCTGCACGCGAACCGGGGACGCTTCATGGCCCCCGACTGGGCGCCCGCCTTCTCTGCCATCCACTCGGTCATGCGGAAGGTATGCAAAGTCATATACATTTCCTACGGGAATAGTAAAGCCCCAGTCATATTGCACACACTTGATACAAGAGACACTGAGTTCACTGGAGACATGACCACAGAGTTATCTCCTGGCATGCCTCAAGCTTCTTTGAAGGGCTTCATGCATACGCATTTTTTGGGAAATGTTTGAAGACATTTTTTTCTGTAACAGATATGACAGAACCGCCGTAGAAAATAGAAACACGCTTCACACCGTGTCTTTAGACTGTATTTTGTATTATGCATTAGCAATGTGGCCTGTTCATAAACATACAACATAGCGCTAACACAGCATGGACAAAGCACTAACTTTGCACTATATATCCAGGACTGTATCAGCACTGGGTGCATGTGGCCCCGCCTTTTCTTGCCTAGACCCATAATGCAGCGTTGACAGCCCCCTTGATAAGAGGTATATGCTTCGCCCTTCTTCCAAGTACCGACAACCATCGTTGTGTGAACGGGCCGAACACGTACCTCAAGCGAGTGTTATGTTACATTTAGATTATATTGAAAACGATCTCGACAAAAGGCCAGGTTTCTTCTCTCGGATGCAGTATATAGACTAGTATACTGCAGTAAAGTACCCTAATCTTGGCAATATATAAAATAAAAAAAATACCACATCCAAATTCCAACGTGATAAATTATCCTATATTTTACTAATCTCGAACACGGTAACACAAATTCGTGGCCTAACTTTTATTTTCGAACTCAAGACAAAAACCTTGTTGAAACACACCAGAAAATTTAAGTTCAAATTTCACATTGCTGGACATATTATTCCAACTTAAGATCTCGTTAAACTCATTTATAATTTGTCCATAGGTATTGTGACATGGCGGCCAATAAAATACGCCTCGTTGTAGCCCTCGTATGTCCTGTTAAAGATTTAAACGAACTTAGGGCAAATCGGTCGCTGGATTCTTTTATTATGTAAACTTTTTTGACAATTTTTGATATGTATACAGCAGTAAGGGGTAAGACGCGAACGGGTCGCAAAAAAAAAGGTCGGTTTGAGTATGTAAAAATTCTTAGAGTTCGTTTTTGTAAGACAAAAATCGCTTCTATTTATTTGGAATATGTACTGCCCCGGTTTCATAATTCATATGAAATATTTAGAAACCGGTATCTTTGTGGCTGTTCTAGTATCATTGGACACGTTGGAACGACTGAGTAGCATAGGAACAAATCATAAGACGAGGTTAGAGATATTTCATGAAGAATATCAATCGAAACCTTTATCCTTTATAATGAAGATTTTTATACTTTACGCATGGTTCGGAGGCATATGGATAAATATTATCGTTTTAACCACGATATTAGAGCGATAGCTGTTAGTGGGACACTTAGCGGTTTTGCTCCCCATTGACCGCACTCTCAAGAAAAAAGGGTGTAAAAGGGTGTGTCGTTACACTCTTTGTTCCAAATAATACACCCCAAATTTTCAATTCGACATAGAGCGCCCTACAGTCGAACAGACGGCCCGAAATTTTACGAGGGGCTTGATAACGGTGCGATATAATTTATTAAATGGCTAAAGTACATATGAAAGACCACATAAAGAAAACACCGGGTTTTCACAGTAGGGCCAAAAAAAGCCCGATTATTATTTTTTTTTTGTGGTCAGTAAAACGTACATCAGCTATTTCAATAAGTTTTACCGCACGGCTATCAAGCCCCTCGTACAATTTCGGGCCGTCTGTTCGACTGTAGGGCGCTGTACGTCGAATTGAAGTTTGGGGGTGTATTATATAAGACAAAGGGTGTAAGCATACACCTTTTGACACCCTTTTTTCTTGAGAGTGCGCCCTCTTCGCCACAACATTCCTAGGGCCGCTGATGACAAGATAACAAGCAAAAAAAGATAACATGCATGGTCCGCAAAACAGTTCCGCCGGGAAATCTGGCAGTGCAGTGGGATACGTGCCCATGTGACCCAGAATTAGCACAAACAACTATTCTCGGGAGATACGCAGATAAAACTGACTTAGAATTTTACAATGCATTCTGTATCAAAAGCAAGGGAAAAGCAAGTACATAAGTGCTTCATCAATGCGCCTCACAGGTACAGAGTTTTATTCTCTGAACGAATAGCCGTACAGATGGTATTAATACTGTGTGTTTGTTTCAATAAACCTTCATTTGAGACATGACTAAAATAGTGCGAACTGGACAGAGACAAAAAAAAAAGCACAGGGATTATAGCACTGGCGCGGACTTCCAACTAAGTTAATTGCATCATCAACCAAGCAATATATGCCATCGCCTGCGGACATAAAAAAACACAAAAATTGTTATACATTAAGGTTGTATGCCTACCACGCGCCTATCTTGAGATAAAACCATAAACAAATTATAATTATTTGTCAATTAGACACGCTGAAGGCATGCTGACGCACTTGTATCTCACTTTTTTTTATATAAAAAAGGCCCCTATAATTTCTCTCTCTCTCTCTTGTCCTTTGCTCTCTTCAGGAACTTGGTCACTTTCAAAAGCGGTTCACACCCAAATCTTTTAACGTGCTCAGCAAGATGACCACCCAAATTGCTTCGTACCTGAAACATTACACAGACCCGTTTCTCCAATGCAAATGCGGCCACAGCTAAAAGGATTGTCGGAATTCCCTATTGAAAATTCTCATATGTATGAGAAATTTCCGTGTCCAATAAACACATATGAATCATACAAGATATATAAGAACATATAAGAACCATATAACAACCACATAAGAACTAAATAAGAACTATACAAGATATATAAGAACCTACATGCAACATGTAAGAAACCTGAAAGAAGTTTCTTATAAGTTTCTTATATGGTTCTTATATATCTTATATGGTTCTTACATAGTTGTTATATAGTTCTTATTCGGTTGTTATATGTTCTTATATATCTTGCATGATTCATATGTGTTTATTGGACACAAGAAATTGGGGAGGATGTTCCACCCCCGTGGAACGTCCTCCCCAATATCCAGGTAGAGCCTATCCCAAGAAACATGGACCCCGACAAAAACAAAAAGCGCCGAGAACTCAGAGCACGAGCTCTTACAGAACGAGTATTCACACTAAAACAAGAAGAAGCTCGCGTCTACTTCACAGATGCGAGCCTTCGAACCGACACCAACACTGGAACGATTGCCTACCACTCCGAACACCACGAACATGCTTTGCAATACACTAACCCACCCGTCATCGATGACTTAGCAATTGAGCATGCTTGCACCGAACCCTACACACACCACCCAACCTTAATATTTTCACACTCACAAGATGCACTCCGCAGCTACGTTCAAAACAAAGTCAATGTTTACACTTGAAACTGCCTCGCCCCAATATTGCATCAACACCCCCATCATTTTCGTTTAGTGTGGGTGCCAGGCCATGTTTCAATGGAGGGCAATGCAAAAGCCAATGCGCTGACCCGAGTTCCCGTTCCCGGACCCTCCATTGGCTGGTCTAGCCCATACTCTCCCAAAATACAGAGAGCTCTCGATAAACACAACCGCCGCACACTGTTGCAGGAGTACCGTAGGAACCGACAAACGCTGCCCCCTCCTCTCGCCCATTTCAGCCGCGCAGACGCCGCACTTATCCGGCAGGCGCAGACGCATTCACTGCCATCACATCACGTCCTACATAGAATTTACCGGCGACCCAGCCACCCCATTGTCAATGTTGTGACACCTACCCCTGGCCGCGTCACACATATAGGGCGTGCCCCCTTTACCCCCCGCATCCCCCATTTCCCCCTGAAATCACCACCTCGGAGGAGTGGCTGGCGTCACCCTTAGACATCGCCGAGCAGACTCTTCAAGCCCTCGCGGCTCATGCCAAGACTGTCTCGGCACAAGTGCCTCAGGAGTACGAGGTCCTGACCACATCACCCCACCCCTAGGAGACCCGGACCAGGGTTTTCTGAGTACAAATAAAGTTCATTCTCTCTCTCCTCTCTTCCTAAATTGAAGATCGAAGCCGGTTGACATTTCGTGCTCGCCACTTTTGGTGAGGGCCGCCAGAAAGCAGTTGTAAGCTAATTCTCTGACTGCACCAGGGTGCACGGATGGATTTTAAGATAATAAACGTCAACGCTAGGAGTATTCTGAATAAAGCTACTATGGTTGAATATGTTGTGCTAGAACATGAGCCTGACGTTGTAGTGATTACCGAGACATGGCTGCACAAAGATGTTTTGGACTCTGAAGTTACGCCTCCAAATCGCACTACAGTGCGAAAAGATAGAGCTAGGCGTGGAGGGGGAGTAGCACTGCTCATTAAAAATATTATAATATTCACGGTGCTAGAAGATGTCGATGAACTTGAAATGATATGGGTGAAATCTAAGCTGAATGGTCTCCCGGTAGTTATCGGAGCCCCTTTTACAGACCCCTAGCTCATCTATAGACACTATCTTGAAGTTGCGCAACCACATGGCCTTAAAACTGCATCGTGAAAAGAATGACATATTCTTGGGGGCTTTAATCTACTTGGCATTGATTGGCAGACACTTACTTCTGGACTGGCTGACGTTTCCATTTGTGACCAATTGCTGGAACTTGCATTTTGCTACGGTCTGACGCAGGTGTAACGGACTATACAAGAGTAACCTTAATGACGTCGACGGTACTGGATCTAATCTTTATTCCTACCAACATGATTTCAAACATGTCTAACTGGGAAACTTTCGAAGGTTTATCTGACCACAAGATGGTAATGATGACTTTGAACATGAAAGCCGCCGTTGATGCTAATCTCTCGCGAAAAATGTTTCTCTATTTTAAAGCCGCGGATGACGTGAGCATTTTGGATTGTTTGGAAGGTTCGTTTTATGACTTTCAGATGCTTTATCGGTCATGTGCTGGCACTCCGGTGCTGTGGAATCACTTCTCGGGTGTGACGGAACTTTGTATTCGGTAGTTTATTTCCAGGTATGCCAAAAATACTAAAAAGAAAAACCCTTGGATTACATGGAAGCTCCTAGCATGCAAAGAGAAGACTACGCCGCGCCAGAAAGGCATATTCGCGGAACGCGTATCCTAGTAAAAAGAAAAATATCCAGAACATGAGCAGGAACTTAAAACAACTCATATGGTCTTTAAAGGCGAACTTTTTCAACGTCACCTTGATACACTTCCTTAGGGAGGCACCGGGCAACTTTTGGCGCTCTGTAAATCATCAGGCAAACGCCAAAAATGATTACAGGTATGAAAATTATCTCAGGCGAGCTGATGACTTCAACTCCTTATTTTTCGTCGGTGTTCACTCTGTATAATGGACTTCTGCCGAGGAATGATGACATAACTAATTACCCCCCCCCCCCCGATAAACAATATTGAAGTAAATGAACAGGGAGTCCTGAACCCACTACTTAATATACACATAAAGAAAAGTCCCGGGCCTGACGGAATCCCCAATGCATCTTTAAGAAGGTGCTGTGAATGGGTTGCCAAATATTTAACCATTATTTTCCAATCATCACTCTCCGATGGTTTGTTACCAACTGCCTGGAAATGTGCTAAAGTTATTCCTATACACAAAAGTGGTACTACTTTTGATCTAAGAAATTATCGCCCCATGTCTCTTACCAGCACGTGCTCCAAACTTCTCGAGCATATTGTATCGAAGCACCTTTTCAATTATCTAGATAGCAATGATTTCTGTTATCAATCGCAGCACGGGTTTAGAAAGGGCCTTTCTATTTCGACCCAGCTGATAGAAACTGTTCACGAACTAGCCCAAAAAAATAATCGTCGCGGTTAGACTGGCATAGTATTCTTAGGCTTCGCTAAGGCTTTTGATAAAGTGTCTCATCAGAAGCTATTAATAAAACTTTAAAAAAATATTTAAAAACTCAAGCATAACACATTGGTTTTGTTCTTATCCATCTTCTTCAGTGCAGTTTGTTGAGACCGGTGGTCGTACATCACGTTTTGTTCCAGTCCTCTCTGGGGTGCCTCAGGGAAGTGTTTTTGGGTCCGGTTTTATTTCTATTCTTTATAAATGACCTCCACAATATAATTAAAGTGGCAATACGATTGTGCGCAGATGACTGCGTGATAGATAATGAAATTAGAACACCAGATGATCAGGCCGAATTAAATAGAAATCTACAAAACATTAACAAATGGTGTCAAGACTGGCAAATGATCTTAAATCCAGGGAATTCAGTCTTTATGACAGTTAGGGGAAACAACAATTTCTGAGGTACGACTACTGCATCAACGAGCATGAAATCACAAGGGTAACGTTGAGCAGCCCCCCCCCCCCCCCTCCAAGTACTTAGGCTTAACATTCACTTCAGATTTACTTTGGAATGCTAATATAGACAGAGTGTCTGCAAAAGCCAATAGATCGCAATGGTACCTAAGAAGAAACTTGTCGTATGCCTCACCGGACATAAAAAGCCTCACCTATAAGACCCTTGTTAGACCAGTCATAGAGTACGCCAAAATAGTATAAGATCCACATACCATCACCAAATGCATTTAAATTAGAAAAGGTTCAGCGCTTAGCTGCTAGGTTTATTCATAACAAATATCGGCGCGTTCATGCTCCTACTGAGCTCTGTCAAATGGCTAATTGCTATTGATTATCCAAAGGTAAACATAGATAATTATTTCCAAGTCCTTGAAGACGAAAAATTAAGGCACCGGCATAGTTTATACATAAGAAAATATTCTGTGAAAAACGATTGCTTTAAATTTAGTTGTTTTTTTTTCCAAGAGCCGTCAGGGAATAGAATAGAGTGCCTAATGAAACAGTGACATCAGCATCAATTGCGGCCTTCCTTTACTGCATTGAAAACGTTTTGATATGTGCGAGTAACTGAGGAATATCGTATTATCGTCTTGTTTACGTGCCAGCAGGGGCAGGGCGTCTTGTTTAAGTGCCAGCAGGGGCAGTGTCAGCACTTTTTATGACACAAAAGCGAAACGCGAGAACTGTGTATTCACATCTTGTATTTTTTTTTTTTTTGGCTTTTTATCGGTTGTACTTTCCACTCCGGTACTGGCCCTGCGATAGGGCTAACAGTATCAATAAATAAAAATAAATAAATAAATAAGCTGGGTTTACAAACTTAGAAGCCAGCGCCAGTCTTGTCGAACGGGTGCCTTTCATCGTCACTGTCCTGTTCTCGCTATTTTAATAATGTCTAATACTAACTAACTAGCCCAATAAAAGTAGTTTTACTTCATTTGAGGGTGCATTTCGTCTTGTATTTTTCCTCGTCCTTGTTTATTGGGCGCTTTTCGTTTAGCACGTGCGACTATTTGTATAGAAGTGATCCTTAAAAACACGCTCCCTTCTTACGCAGACAGCTGAAATGCACTCTACTTAATACACCATTGGTTCGACAACGCTATGGACGTTTCGTTCGTTGTGCCCCTCGGTTTTAAACGAGACGTGTAAGCGGACTGTACGGTGCGCTCTCGTCCAATTACCGTTCATTCAGTTCATCTGCTCCGAGAAGACACCTTAGCGGCTCCAATTTTACACCTCAGCTGTCGCTGCGTTTCACCCTTAATTGTTTAGCTCCTAATTTCTTATCTACTTCAATCACAAAAACAAAACTCGAAAATTAAACAAAATTGAATAAACATCTTATGAAAACTATAGCCTTTTTCTGTGTGATGTTGAACATCAAGCCTCCGCGTATTTTGAACACGTGAAACGACCAGCAGATACCAGTAATGTCACCACGAGTTCTTTAGTCTCCTGCGAGGATGGGCAAAAGGGTTAGAAAGATTGCCAACAAGGCGCGCCTGTCGCATCTTTCCGAGAAACGTTTACCGAGTCTTTGGGGACTTTTAGCAAGCCGTTACCGTGTCCTCCGTACCGCACTCGGAGCCTTTGAAGCATGCTTTTAAGGGCGCGACCCGCGATCACAGCACCACCCGGGCGCGCGCTTAGAAGCATCTACTTCAAATGCTCACGTAGTGCCGTACGCGGAACACAGTAACGGTTTGCTGAAAAACCCCTTTGTACAGGGGGACCCGTAGGGGTGATGGACCACAGACAGCAGGGACATAGTTTTCCTTGGCTTTCCTCGCAGTACGAGCTCGGCACGAGCCTGGAGCGGAACTTCATTGATCCACTGGAACACGAGCTGCACCGAGTTCAGCGAAACGAGTGCGTCGTCCAATTTCTGCTCCACTCGAAGCAGTGGCGGACTATGGCTCGACAGTTGGACAACGAAAGAGGCTTTAATGGCAACGCCACTAATGCAGCGAGATCTTCAGTAACATCTACTTGACAGCTACGCATGCATGATTACACTTGGTGTTACCGTATCTTAATTTGCAAAATGGTGACTAGATTGCTGACCCAAATCGAACGAAGGATAAAGCGTATTCCTTGCAACGGACACCGGCGTCTTAAGAAACGCAGGATATTGCAACTTTCTGCGGCATCTTATTAATACTCCGCAGCCAAAAAGCTTGCCGCATAAGCCAATAAGAACAACTAAGAGGGAATCACAAAGTGTGGAATTAAATAACACACGTATTCAAGAGTACATCTCACTCGGGCCATCTGCATTAAACAGCGCACCTACAGCGCCATGTCCTCCCCTAGCAGTGCGCCCAAAGTTCACCCTATTCCCGTCTTCGCAGCGACTGCGCACAAGCCCAAATGGAATGCCTCACTCATACTTCCTTCCACCCTAAGTCCAGACACAGCCAACGCTACGAGCGAACGGGTCCGATCAGACAACGTCATAAGGGCACCATTATGATATTCGTCATATTTATGTACGGGGTCTATCATCGCTGCACCAATAGTCATAAACAACAAAAGGCTTAGTGACTTGCGCTTTTAACGCTGCTCGATTCGTCCTTTTAGCTCGTAGCGTCGTCTGCGTCTGGACTTAAGCTAAAACGAAAAATAGTGATAACGTTCGCTGTATATGAACCGTATTTAAATATCATCACCGCGAGGATCCCGAACCATGGTGACGAAGCCCAGAGGATCGCATTGTTTACGACGGTAAAAACGAAATCCCCACAGCTTTTTTTGTCAAGGTTTGCGAAAAAGATAGAAAGAAAATGACCGCTTTTATTCTTAAAATTGCGCAACAGGAAAAAAAAAAAAAGAAGAAAAAAAAGCCCCTTCGACAGTGATGTTGCGTGCGAGTATACTTGGGTCCCACTACGGTCAATAAACTTGTGTAAACTGAGAAACATTCCTACTGAATACCGTTGCATGGCCACTCTGATCGGTAAACTTTACTTTATTGTTCTGCTGACAAGTGTGCTTCTTTTGTTTTTATCCCTGATGTTCGCCGTGGCTGCCCAGTGTGTTTAAAAAAAAAACAAAAAAAAAACTTCTTTTTTTTTTTTCCTCAAACATGGAAATTTCAGAAATTTTTCAATATAATCGGAGAAATATTTGTTATATTAAAATGCGAACCCGATATGGCTTCACGGTCTCTTCAGCCCTGTACTGTGAAACATCATTTATAGGTTTCCGCAGAAGCGGTCGGTCGTTTTGTACAACACTGTTCTTAACAATTTTCCTCGCGTGTTTTCGACCCTACTTTCACGGTTTGGTTTTTTGACCGCGAGGAGCAGTGAGCAGCTGATTCGCTCAAGAAGGCCGCAGGGCGAACCCACCGCCGGAGCTTTCTGTTCTAGCCGCTGGGTGCCGTTGAATTCACTGGAGTCTCCGATAAGGTCTCGTGTTTCCTGTTTACCACTGTATCCACGCGCAATACTTGACGATGCATTCAAAAAGAAGAATGTCAGCTACCTTCCAAAGCGAAGTACATAGCTAGTTCTGCATCCGAGGTGAGTCACCTTGCGCTGCTTTTCATGGGGCATGACAGGTGTGCGCTGTTTCCCACCTGTATCCTCCAGCGTGCAAGCAAGAACATTTCGTTGGTAAATGGCGGTACAGGCATAACCATCCTCTTCCGGAGTATTTCGAATTCAGACTCGGCTGTGTGAAGCCAACTGTTTCCTTTAGATCCGGACGGAGTTCTCGATATCGGTGGTCTGGGTAAGTAGAGTCCCACGTACCCTAAGGTTATCGCGCGGGTACTAACGAATTATCTTCATACATATGAGAATTACGTTCACGTAATTTAAGTTTAAACGAGAATCATCCGCAGCTACCCGAGGAGTATGGGAGATCTTAATGACATAGCGTTGAGGATCTCGTGTAGCATAAAAGCCGGTATCGGTGGCGTGGGTTACAAGCCAGGATTGGTCGATAGGGTCATGACGTCAGAGCCACGTGACCTCGCGCAGGAATTTCAAACAACCCTCAACGCTCACGTGAAACGTGACCTCACGCGTGAAAGGAAAGTGATTAGAACATCGCGTGTAATTGAAATAAAAACCGACGCATGTCTCGAATGATTTCACTTTATGAAGCAATTCATAAAATTCGAAGAATTTCAGGCGGGATTCGAACCCACAACCCTTCGGGTGCAAGTCAGAAACGCTTGCATGTCTTGGGAACGAGTGTGAGTTTATATGTTTATATGTTTCGCTATCGCATTCAACTCCTAAAGGCGAAGCTTAAGCGTTCTCCAAATTACTTACTTAACTTACTTAAATATGGGCGGAGTTCACGTGTGAACCTGGAGAGCAGAGTCCCATGTTCTGTCGGATTATCCTGGCACTTAAGAATTATCCGCATACATCTTAGGATTATCTATACATAACCGAGGATTAACCGAGAATTATTCGTGGATACAGGACGGGTATACGAAGATTATCTCCGGCCAACATAAGGCTATCTCTCTTAAATACGAGCGTATTTCTCGCCATGGGTGGGCCTGTTGAGCAGCCTCCCGCGTACTCCCAGAACACTGCCGTCGGACTTATAGGGGATTCACCCGCAATTTGTTTGTAGCCTTTTCCTCGTAGATGACGCAGACTTTTTCCGGAACAAACGAGTTGCATGCTCGCAGCTGCGCGTGCAGGTGGGCGCTCGGGGTGGGCTAGGGCCACGGGCTGTTCGCCGCCGATCTAGGCGAGATAGATTTTGCTCGCCCGACGTCCGCCACTACCGCCAGGTGCCAAGGGCGGGCGAGGGGGACCAGCAATATAGTCAAAGAAATGGCTTTGATTTCTGACTGTGTTCGAAGTTGGAACAACGTTCGAACCATTCAAACGTATTTTGTGAACACCCTATTTGCTGATATTGTCGTGCGTTGGTAGAGCACTCGGATATTCAGCGTTTGCCAGTGCGTCGTTTGTGTGCACGCAGGTGAAGTCGCTCACTGAGCTGACGCCTTGCCATCGTGTGTATTGGCTTTGGCAGCGTTCATCGCTTGTTTCTCGCGTAAAGTTTAGTTTCCAGTGAATACGCGGCGGCGGCTTGTAATCATTTTCTTGCAGCGCGAATTTTGCTGTTTATTTTTTGTTTCCTCCACTGAGTTCAGCCTTTAGATGCGAGCCCGCAATGAGTGGCATCAGATTACGTACGAGTTATGGCCGTAGGTAGAAAAGAGCTTCTGACCATGATCCATTTTGAGCGCTTGTACGTACGACGCTTATTTAGCTCGCTTCCCAAATCGACGAAATAATTCATGCAGAGCTGTGAAGATCGCCAACTTAGGAGTGCGATCTTCACAGCCCAGCATTTTCTAAGCAAAAAGCTTCTGGCCGGTTCGATCCTCGGCGTTCGTGCGCATGGCGAGTGCTTTGCTCACTTTTCCAAACGACGAAAAATTATAGCAGACTGGGCTGTGATTTTGTTAACATAGAAACGGTTTATAAGCATCTTTCAACATCTGCTCATCAGCGCTAATAAAGCGTAAAAAAAAAGAAGAAAGAAACATAGTGAACCACATTCATGGCGCTGTCACACTGGAAGCGGATCCGCGTTCGCAATGCCGTTGCGAACGCGGTTGTCTAAAGATCCAGTACAATTTCACGCGCGTTTGGTGTCATCGAATGCGCGTGATATTGTACTGGATCTTTAGACAACCGGCATTCGCAACCGCTTTGCGAACGCGGATCCACTTCCAGTGTCAATGCGCCACCAGCGTTTTATCTAAACTCTAACAGCGGTTTCCTTTCGTTTTTTTTTTTTAATTCTTATTTTTATTTTATATTTATTTCTCGCGTGCAACGTGAGCGAGCATGCTGAGGCGCGGGGCATTTCTGAAGAAGTGAAAGCGCGCATGTACAGTTTCGAGCGGCGTTCAAAGCTACGCGACTGCACCGGCGCCTGTAGCGTTGGCTTCATATCCACTGAAAGTTGTGCCATATTTGTGCCATGCCGTAGCCTCCTCGATACTCACAAAGCATGGCAGTTCGGCGACAGAGCCATAGAGTGCCCGCGGTCGCAAATTTGAAGCGCCAGGATCTGGTAGCACAGAGCATTTCTGGGAACCTGGACGTCAGCGCAGAGCTTTTGCAGCGGCGAGGACGCGAAACATGGTTTTCAAACCCGACGAGAAAAGAAGCGGTACCCCGAGGAACGCGAGGGGCACGAGCGGACATTCCATCGCTCGGGAGAAGTGTGCTTCGGCGTCTCGCCGCAGCGGGGCGTCCGTCACGTGACTCTCATCTCGTCCTTTGTCTGCCGCTGTACCTTTTCAATTGCGTTGGCCACGTCTCGTGGCGATCTGCCGGGCTTTGTCAGTATAGAGGAGGCTATTGCCATGCAAAACGGTGCACGCGACACGCGCCCACCGTGCACGCGCCGTACCTTGACGCCGGGCGCGGGCGAGGTCGGTTTTGCAGGATGACTGTAAGATGTAAGATTTTCGTCCCGGTTAGAGAATGGGTGTGAATCAAGCCACCTAAAATAATCGAAGCCTACGCATTAGAATTTTGATATCATCACAGTCAGATCGAGCGCACACACACAAATCACACTCAAGCTCAGCGTCAGTGTTCGGCTGGAATCCGCGCCAAGTCAACGCGTCAAAGGACGCTCAGTGTCGTGCCCAATGAGGAGAGACAGTCGTCTACTTTCTGCGCAGGAGTTGCGGTGACTTCAGAACGACACCGAGCTCTGTTTGGATTTGATTAAGAGATAGCGGGTAGACATCAATGCTAGATGCCTTGAGGTCTACCCACTATTCTTTTTTTTAATTAGCCAATAAGGGCTCGGCATTTTGACATCATTGCAACCCCTGTGCGAGAAGCAGACAAACCTGCCCTCCGCATATACTTGTTCCAAAACTCGAAGCATTTCATCACGGCATAATACAACGTTCCGCATTGTGAGAATGAGTGGGAAGCAAAATCCATACTCGCGCCGCTTGTGGCCCACAGGTTCCCAGAATGCAACCCGTGGATTGACGAATTTATGGAAGTAGCCTATTAGCGAGTTGGCGCTATTCGAGTGTGATGACGTACCGTTGAAGAAGACGAAGTTGTTTACAGCCTTGCCTGAGACGATGAGACGACGTAGTGAAGCCGTGAAAACGCGCAGTGCCTCAACGCCGCCGGGCCTCCCTTTCACTTTCAAAACCGATGCAGCGAGCACCGGCG